CAGGGCCTGGGGTCGGCCGCCGACAGGGCTGAGGCTGGGGTGGCCAGGCAGGGTTAGCCTGAGGGGACCGTGAGGAGCAGGGAACGGACATTTTGTTCAGACGGACACTTTCCTGATCCTCCCAGTCCCGAGGTGGTCAGAAACCACAGGTAGGAGAGATGTCTCCAAGGCGCCTGTGCTCCTGGTGCCATGGCCCCAGGGTTCCTGTGTCTCCTTGGTCTGGGCCTGGGGGACGGGGACGGTCGCTCTGGCCACCAAGGCAGACGAGGTGAGGAGGTGGCCTGGTGCTGGCAACAGGGCTCGGGTCAAGGCCATAACTGGTCTGGTGCTTGCACCGCCGTCTCAGATGCAGCTGTCTGACGAAATCCCACTCAGAAACCACATTAAGGAAGGTTGTGGCTCACAAAGTCAAACTCTCCACTCCCGAAATCGTAGGACCATAAGGCAGGAAGCAAGATCAGGAGTTCACTGTGACTGTTGCCCTGCCCTTTGGCTGTGGGTCCCCATCTGACAGGCTTCAGTAAGACATTCAGAGAGGTACAGTGTGCCTCAAACTGCCTGTGCCACTGCTTCTGTTAGAAGACATAGCCATGAGAAAGTTTTGTTTAAACCTGTTACTTATCCTTCTCAGGTTGTTCATGGTGAAGGTTTCTCCAGTTTGTAATACTTTTACATAAAAGAGGTCTTCTGTCTCTTATTTTCTTTTTCCTAAGCTATATTCATATGTTAAACATAACATACCTATTAAGATACTGTTTTCCTTGATCTCTTTTGGATTGTCTCAAATTCTTGAAGCTTGGTTGCCTTTCCTCGGAAGGATATGGACTGGGAAGTCTTCTGCCTTACAGCCTATATTACTTTTTATACCTCCTGGTATATGGATTGACTATTTTAGTAACAGTGTACTGTTGCCAGCTGACACTTTGCTTGTGATCCACTTCAGCACCTTGATCCTTTTCTTCTGAATTGCTGTGTAGCCAGTTGTTCCCTGCCTCCTTGTATTCCAGTATTGTATGGTACTTCCCTCTGTTGAGTAACACCCTGTTTCTTTAATCAGGTTTTCCATTTTTTCTTCATGCTTTTGCTTTCTAGTCAAGCAAAGGATTTCCGGCAAAAGGATAGTTTTATTCTTCAGAACCTTATTCTGGACAATTACAGCTGTTTCTTCCACAGATTTCCCGTGCATCTTGTATGAGTCATGTAAACTGAACTTTTCACAGAGGGTCACTAGTAACTCATTTTTCATTGCCTGCGCGCCTGTCTGGAGGCACTAGAACCAGACATTTACTGTTCTGTCAGAACTCAGAGGAGTATGTACATGGAAGGTCATCTAACTCTTAGTTTTGCTGA